ATTGTGAGTAACTCATGGACCTTTTCCATTTGGTTGTCATAGTTTTCATTTTTGTTTTCTGTATTTTTAAACACATACATTATTTTCATATCATTTGTTTTTGGTATAAACAATTTTTGAAAATTTTAAAGAGCATTTTTACACTTCTTAAAGAGGAATTATTTTTAGAATTTTTTTGCCAACCCTTCAATAATTATGAAGTCCAATAAAACAAATATTGAGGCATGGGGTGGTGTATGTGTATATTCATGATGAATCTCAAGGAGACAAAATGGAAGATGGTTTATTATTACTAAAGCTTGGGCTCATGGCATCACATGGAATGTCCAATAGTAGATAGCATTTCCTTTAATAAGTTCCACACACACAAAATCAAAAATATAAAATATAAGAAAAATTATTTTTTTATGATAAATTTTATCATCTCAAATATATGATTAAAATTATTTTATGTGATTGATTATGTATTATTGAATTTCTTTTACATGAATTATTCCAAGACACTCAATATCCATCAAAGGCACACAGACTACTTGTATTTCTTAATCCTCTCTCTCTTAGACACACAAATTTAAGGTTGGACCATATGATAGGGACAATAGATGTCTACATAATTAGATATATATATATATATATATATGCATCCACAAACCAACTACTAGTCCAACTTCTAATTAGTTTTGAGTCATTTTTTTGTTATAAAAAATGTAAAAAATTATTAAGTGCACTTGGATAAATGCTCTACATTAACTACTAAATGATAAATCTTGAAAAAGTATTTTATATGTTTGTGTATGTCTACACATTTCTATTTATTGATTGTCATGTGATAAACGTAAAACTCACAAAAATACTTTGTTATCAGCATGAGGGATTGATTGTTCAGTCACGGCCTTATTTTATACCACACATCAACCTATGAATAGAAGGGTATACCATGTCAGCTCGGGCACGTGACATACCCATTAAATAAAATATTTTCTTAATAAATCTTATCTAAAAATGCTAAGATAAAAATTTGAGCCCTAATGTCTAGACCAATAACAATAAAATTGGACAACCACACAGAGTTGTTCCAAGAACACTAAATAATATATTCAAAAATGTTATGTACTCGAAAAAATAATTAAGAAATGCTAAGAATTTGAATCAATGATGTAAAATTTAAACTTAGTGTAATATATGAGCCATAACATAAATGAATCTAATCCAAAATTTCAAGCTATAACTTTTTTCTAGATTTTTTTGTATATAGTAGCATTGTTGTTTCTTTATAATTTTAAAAAAAAAAAATCAAACATTCAAAAAATCTGCAAACCAAAAAGATTATTATTATTATTATTATTATTATTATTTTGTGTGGCTGTCATGCATTGAAAATGCAAGCTGTGGTGCCTCCCATAGTGAAGACACGCCTGGCTGGTTCATCTTATTGTTAGATGGCAACCCCTCTCAATTTATTATGCACACTTTGGTCATGTGTACAGGGAGTGTTTTAGAAAGGTAGTTAAAAGTTAATTTTTGATTTTTAATTAAGTTTTTTTGTTTTTTTAGAAAGTAATTTAAAAAGTTGATAAAAAGCTAAATTTTTTTTGTTAATATTTATTTATAATGTCACATCACAATTAAATGATCAAAATATCTCCACGTGATTTGAAAATTTTACATTTTTATCCATGTATAACCCTAAACAATATAAAGGGTATAATTGTAATTTCACAACTTGCTTTTTTGGACTTCCCAAATCACTTCTTGCCGAAAAAAACCAAGCTAGCTTTTTTATCTCCAAGATGCAAACGCAGCTTTTAACCTGTGTTCCCAAAAGAGTAATATATACATCCGACAATGCTAGGTAGCTCAAATTTTTGTGGCTCAAATGGCTCAAATCTGTCAAAACGACGTCGTTTTGACAGATTTTGAGTGTAAAACGACGTCGTTTTGATAGATTTGAGCCATTTGAGCCACAAAAATTTGAGCTACCAAACATTTTCCTATATACATCCCAACTGTGCCCAAAACAACCCCCCCAAAAAAAAGTTCAGTTTAAAATTATAAAATTTAATTTAATGCTTACAAATGTTATGTTTGGTTGATAGATTTATTGGGAAAAAAAGGAAAAGAAAATGTAAAGAAAATTATAATTATTATGTCTTATTGTTTAGTTATAATGAGAAATAAAAAGGAAAAGAAGCTAATAGGAAAACAAGCTATAATGAAAAGATGTGATAAATTTAATTTTTTTTACAAAATCCTAAGTTATAAACTGCCACTACCGGTGAAACAAATTCAAAGGAAACATGACTTTAAGTAGCTTAGAGGTTATTTGATTAAAATAACCAATAATGGTAAAATAAATTAAAATAATTAATAAGATAAAATGTCACATCTAATTTATAGTTATATTACTTTTTTAAACTAAGCCAAAAAAATCATACAACCAACTAAAATAGCTTATTCTCAAACGGGAGATTCACATAACAAATGACATAATTTTTAAGAGGAATTACTTGGCAGTTGGACAGTGAAAAAAAAAAATACACAAATATAACAACTTTTCACTTGCATCTCACCATATATTTGTGTTTATGTAAATTTTTTCTATGCCCCACTGTCAACTAATCCTCCCTAATTTTTATTATATCTAAAATATGATGAGATTCATCATTAATAGTAGGTGCACAAAAACATTATTGTTGCACTTTTCTTTGCAATATTATTATTTGTATATTCTATAAACATAGTTTGTTTTACAAGAATTCATGAAGTTTGTTTATGTTCACGTAAAAGGTGAAAAAAAGGTATAATTCATTTCCGTGTTGGGGTTTAGCCCTCTAAATTCCTGGTACAAATACAATAAACAGTATTAAATGTAAATTAATGAAACATGTAATTAAAGATAGGTGCATGCAATGCAACAAAGATATGCAAGAAAGAGAGTTGCACATGCATCCATTTATGCAAGCATGACATGCATGTATGTATGTACATACAACAATACCAACAGAAAGGGATTGACTTGACAGGTTAACAATTGTAGACATCAAAATCAGCGTAGAGATCCTCCTCTTAATTCCAGGTTTCAAGTATAGACTCCAATAAAATTGTATGGTACACATTCCTTTTACAAATCATGTCTAAATTATAGTCTTGTAGTCCAAAATAAAAATCATGTGAGGCAAATTATGATATTTTGTAGTAATTAGTTATGAGTTAAAGTGATCTTGATTATGCAATATTATTATTATTATTATTATTATTATTATTATTTATTTGTTTATTTTTTTTATTATGAACCAAAGTATCCTTTGACTTTGGGGTTAAATGGTAATTTGCTATGAACTGAGGTAGTCTTCATTATGAAACTTTTGTAATGTTTTGGTTATGAACTAATTTTAATTATCGTTGTCTATGAAGACTTGTCTGACTTTGTAGTTGGAGAGGATGGCGGAAATGACAAGGGGGTCATCATGTGGGTAACGGACTCCTGCACAGTCAGTGTCGGTGAAGGTGATAAGTTCGGGGTGATTTGCTGTGGGCCGTATGCCTCGTGGGCCTATCCATGTCAATTATTATTATTTATTTGTTTATTTTTTTTATTATGAACCAAAGTATCCTTTGACTTTGGGGTTAAATGGTAATTTGCTATGAACTGAGGTAGTCTTCATTATGAAACTCTTGTAATGTTTTGGTTGTGAACTAATTTTAATTATAACCTACATTAATTAAAGTTATGGACCATGGTGACTAAAATTTTAAATACGTGTCATATGCAATATTTTTATAGTGTATATAGTAACACTTCCTAAACTGTAAAATATATCAAATCGAGCCTTTGCTTTGGTCGAGAGGTTATGTCTCATGGATGATGAGTACTAATCTTGACGGTTATTCTTAGTTTTGCATAGGGTAAATTACATTATACCAGTCTTAGCTCAATAACCAATTCCTAATTCAAGGGATTTCAGGCACGGGAGATATAGGATAGCGCTATCTTTCTCACACTGCCATAATTTCCTCTCAACTCTTCACCTAGATCGCATATCTCCATATTTTCTCAACTTATTGTCCATCTCCCATTCGATTTGGGTTCAATGAGGCTGAGTTTTGACACTAGCATGTATAGTTTTTATTTTTAGTTTTTATTATTATTACAATCAATCGAAGAGATTAAGGGAAGAAAAACATCTGCAGTAGTAAAACTCGAACCTAAACATCAACCTGACAAAGGAACACATCATCCACTTATATAAAAATACAATTAGGCCATATTTGTTTGAACAAATTGAATAAAAGATAAATATAATGCATCAGATTGTTAATCCTAAAATACATATAATCTTTGGATTATTAGTGGGAAAGAATGTGAATCTAATATTTATTTAATCATGAAATTAAATGTTAAAAAATGACTATTCTATTAAATCTTATATTTATTTAAAATATTATGAACAAAGATAAATACTCAAAAAATTATTTTTCTCTTTTAAATTGCTTACTAAATAATAAGAATACTAAATTTGAGTTATAAAGTTTATTTTATTTTTTGAAAAATTATTTTGTTTTACTAAGATCTCGTTTGAAAACAACTATTTTAATAATTTTTTAATTTTTTACGAAAAGATGTGCAGAATAATAGAGATAATGATATGACAATTTATAGTAATTTTTTAACTTTTTAACAAAAACATGTAGTCGCCAAATAAAGTTTAAGTATAATTAAAAATAATATAAATAAAAACTAAAGGCCAAAATTGAGGCCCAAAAATGTCATTATACCTTTCAATAGGAGTTATCCCCCACCCTTTTTTGTATCCCTCCACAAATAAGGGATTGATAGTCCAGTTGGACTATTAGTCCAGTTTACATTTTTTTGAATCAAACATCGGACTATCACATGAAATAGACATGGAATCCCATCCCACGCTCTAATCCACCCAAACAAACACCCCTTAAGGGGAAAACACAAGGGAAAAAACCCAACACCACACCAGACCAGCTCAAGCTATCAATGAGAGACAGAATCATAACAGACAAATCAATGTTGGTACATAACTCCAGAGATATCAAACATGTGCGAACAAACAATTATAATGAGTAGTTCAGCAATTCAGACAGAGAGCATACATATATAGAGGGAATAGAGTATGTAACACTGACATGATGCTGCTGCTCTCTCTCCATTGCCATGGAACCTACCAGAAACACATTTCTTATTCTTCAACCAAAGACAAAGACATACTTCAATTAGAAGTAGGTGCAGTATAAATGGTAATAGGCTTAAGGAATGGTGCGCTGATAGAGGGGCAAAGCTCCCAAAGCTTCACGTTCAGCATTCTCCCTCTTCACCTGCAAGATACAAGCAAGATAGAAATACATTGTTCAGGAACATGTACGCTACATGACAAAAAAAGAAAGGAACAGAAATTCAAAACGTTGAGGCTGCGTTTTTGGATCATGTATTCAGGGAGGGATTTGCAAAGGAAAATGAAAAGTGAATGAAATGTAACCTAAGTTTTTGTTTTTTTATTTCTCTTCACTTCCCCTCAACAAATCTCTTCTCAAATCCATATTCCAAAGACAGCCTGATGGGGAAAGGAAAGTGAAAAGGGGTGGTTCAATTGAAACAGTCTCACAATGCACAACAAAGATCAAAGACAGCATCCTAGAAATCTCTAAAAGAATAGATGTAAATCTCATTTATATCCAGAGACACTACGATGCCTTCTCTCGAAAACACTGGAAATTTGAGAGTGCAAAATCTTGTACTTACAGATGAGAAAAATATGACTTCAATATAAGAGCTGAAGGTAAAAAAAAATTAGAAAGCATTCTAGTTTACAAAGTTATCTGATCCACTCCTAGCTCTGACAATGAATAGGATCCAAGTACTTAACCATCTGAGTCAGTAATTAATAAAAAAGTAAATTGACAATAAAGAAAAAGAACAAAGAGTTCCTTAAGGTTGTGTTTGGTTCATGGATTTCGGTAAGGATTTGGATAGGAAAAGCAAAAAATTGGGTAAAATGTGAATGAAATATAACTGCATTTCACACAGTTTTCACACTTTTTCCATTTCAATTTCTAAATTCCTGCCCAAATCCATGAACCAAACACAGCCTAAAATACATTTGAAAGAAGTAGAACATGAGTACTGTGACACAAAGCAAACCACAAAATAGTGGGACTCCAGAAAGTTCTTTTTTTCCATATTGGAAAGGACCAAATATTTGGAAGAATGACACAACAAAATCAGTACACTAATGATGCAAGAATGCCCACTTGGATTCTTTATAATAATAATCTAATGACCAGTGGCCTAATAAGTGAGTTGGTTAACAACAACAAATAAATGTGGAAACATAATAAAATTATAATAGGGACTAACGGATAATGTCGACTTCATTACTGTATATTTAAAGGATGCAAAAGAAATATTTCAACCTGTAAGCAAAATAAAAAATTCCACAAAGGAATCATGAAAATTAAAATATTTAACCACTTACAAGGGCCAACATATCTTGAAGATAACTCCTATATGGTGTCTGCATAGCCTGTAAGAACGTAAATGGAAACTATAGTCAGCAATTACAAAACCTCGTAGCTTGCACACCCAAACTGATCTACTAGAAAATTTACGTGTCTATTGCTCTAATCTACTCTAGTAACAAATTAACAATCATCGAGCATACAAACACAAACAAATTAGATAAATTTATATTTATTTACTGTATTATAAGTATTTCCAATCAATCAAATTGAGACTACATACATAGATCCCAATACACTTTTGAATGAGTTGAAAAGTTTCAAATCCAAACTCAAAGCATACGAGAATAGAACTTCGTGAAACAGTAAGAATCAACTTAGTAGTCACTAGTCAGCATACAACAGCCATTAATCCAACCTTTAAACCAGACTTTTATGAGCACATAAAAAATGGAAATAATGACATACAACAACCCATTAATCCACCCTTTAAACCTGACTTTTATGAGCACATAAAACAATGGAAATAACGACCTTCCTAGACCCCAACCCCCCGTTCCTTTAAATTCCTCCACATTTTGTCACTTCCAATTTGAGTCCATTCCTTCCCTCCTCTCGTCTTCAATTAGTCTATCTTTTGAGCTTCACGAATACATAAATTCTTTTCTTTTATTGCTCTTAGAATGCCTGACCTTTCACCTCACGTGCTGGAATTCAATTACTCCAATATTTATTAAGAATGTTCACGTACATATTTAAGGGGGTGGCATGCCACTAAACTATACAAGCTAGAAAAGGGGAAGAGGGTGGCTCGTGCAATCATTCTACAAAATTATAGGAAAAAAATCTAGGATTTTGCAGATGTTGAGAGATTTAATCAGAATGCATCCGATAATAAATGATACTTATGCATGGAAGCCTTTTATCCACATCAATTTTTTTTTTTTTTTTTTTTTCCATGGGTTAAGATATTCAAACCAATTCTAGTTTTTTATTGAATCCATCAAAAGCTAGCACCCACATCCTTTGGTTGCATAGAATAGCTACTATTGCAGACGAAACTCAATCCGGTGATGAATGTCCATTCCACACAAATCGATATATATAACAGAAATAATAAACTCAAATCTTTGTACTAGACATGAAAATATTGGAAAGCAAATGAGCAAACTATGTTACATACACTCAAAGTACAAAAGTCAAGTTCAGGCACATGCATAAGCATTGGATCATCTAATTCCCTCGTCAAAGGAAATTGAGACACGACGAAATATTCATGTTTTTCAATTTTAGTTTTTACTTTCTATGGACTTTTTATTTATTTATTTATTTTATTATTATTATTATTATTATTTGTGTGTGGGTGTGTATGTATCAAAGACAATGAACAATGGGCACTTCACTCATTTTGAAGCAACCAAATTTGAAAATTGAATACCACAATGCTAGGGGCATGTCCAATTATACATGTCAAACTCACATGCCATACCCAGATAACCCCTGGGGCCTTACCCAAGGGTGTAAACTGTAGTCTCCAAAACAGGTGCTTTAAATTTTCAAAAGTCTCCCTTTCACATTAGATGTTATGATGTCTCATACGAAATCAGGAATTAGAACATCCACAATTTTGATCCCCATCAATCAAAGGTACTAGGACTGGTAAGACAAACGCAATCTTTGCATTATGTCAGCAAAGTGGCTGCTCTCTTAATTTGCTATTTAGGTAAGGTGCCATAACAATAGGAATGACTAGAAATTCTAAATCAGTATATATAAGTATTGATATGGAATTACAAAAGGAGATTAAAATGAAGATTATCATCAACTTGTGGAAGTCTGGAGCCAGGGTTCCTATAATTCGGGCATTTTCATGCTTTAAGCTGCATTTCCTTACAAGAAAAAACAAAATTTTCATTTGAAAGCTTATCAGCTACTCTTTTTCTCTCTCTCTCTCGAATTTCAGTTTCCAGGTCTGTATTTTACTCTTTTTCTCACTGGATTGATGTACTAATAACCAATTCATTTTCCATCCAATGCATAACCTTGTAGCTCTGCTCTTAATCTATCCAAAGAGGTGATTGACAGAGAGGGATCGATCCTATCCAAATGGACTGTAACAAAAATCCTGCCTTTCTCAGCGTAATGAAAGATATCTAGAGAGAGAAACCTGCAAGTGCTCAGGGAGGTAGTCGTGCTTCATGGAGAGGTCCATCGCTCGCTTGAGGCGTTGATTCCTGGCGTCCACGATCTCACGAGGAAGACGATTCAAAGCTTCCTTCACGTCCAGATCGTAATAGGGATCGAAGAGATCATCATAACGAAGGCCTTCACATACATCAAGACAATACGAATCAAAAAAAACGCAAATTGAATCCATCTGAGAGCTAAAATTAGGGTTTTGAAATTGAATAGAGAGAGGCAAACCGTATCTGCGGAGGCGTTTGGAGATGGATTTCATGTGTTGAGCAGCGAACCAGTTCTTCTTTGGGTCTACGAGCCACTTCATCAACGACGACGCCATAGCTTCTCAGCTCCAATTCTCTCTCTCTCTCTCTCTATTTCTCTGGAAGAATCGTCAAGTCCTCCTCACCTCAAAATCGACATTGCCGTAGGCAGTTGAACGGCGTCGTTTATATTGTTGGGCCGGGCTTCCAAGGATTGTCAAGGAAAGAATTGAAGCTAGTCGTTCTAATAAGGATATGTTTATATGATATGACCATTGTGTGAAGTGAACATCTCAAGCCCAATCCATGTATTTTAGCGATCGAACGGGTCAATCTATGCTTGGACTTGGGCCTGACAAAAAAGTAGTGGGCTGGGTTGTGGCCTTTTGAACTTTTTTTGATGAGGATCCTAGTGTATATGTAATATACAGATATACATTTTGAACTTTCTTTCTCCTTTTTTTCTATAAAGATTTTATAGAAACCATGTCAGTATTTTGTTTCTGTTAAGGGAAAAACAACGTCGTACGAACATAGTTTTGGAAGTGCTTGCGTGTCACAACTCTCACGACCCCACTTACCTATGATTGATCCATAAGGAAAGATAAAAAAAATCAAAAAATAATAATATATGATTGGTCTATATTATTTTGGGATAATGAAAGTCGTAATTTTGGGAGTTTAGTAAAGGTGTGCGCAATGCGATACGGATTGTTTGAAAATAAAATTATAAATCGAATGATAGATTAACGGATTAGCGGATTGACAAATTGTAATTTGAGCGGTTTTTGACAGATTGACGGATTAAAGAATATTCTAACGAATTATGATAAATTTGTATAATATTTTTTAGATATATAACACAAAGTAATTTTATATTATATATTCCATATACATAACTACTAATTTGTAATAAATTTCATATCTTAAATTTCTCTCACACTCATTTTTATATTGATATTTCATTAGAAGTTAATATATATATATATAGTAACTATAGCGGAACGGAGTGATTCGATTAAGGGCTTATAAATTTTAAAATTTAAACCACGATTAACAGTTAGAACAGTACGAATTGATATAAATCGATGCGATTTTAACAAATTACCCGATATTTTGCGCAGCTCTAGTCCCATGTATTTTTCTTCTATTTATGCATACGTGTCATTATCTCATTGAATGGACTGTTTGGTCCAATAAATCATTTTCTACAATTTTTAAAAAAGTACATGAAAGACAGGGCTTACAAATTTGTTATCTTGGAGAGTGGGCCTACATCAAGAATGAATCTCTTTTTCAAAATTTAGTTAAAAGTTAATTTTTAATTTTTAATTTAGAAAAAATTATTTATAAGTCCTATTAAGGAAACTGATGCTATATATGATACTACTAAAAAATTTATGTTTCCATAAGTTTTGTGGGAAGTTTGTTGACACATTTACTCTCAATATTAGTTGTTAATATCATAAATAATAGTAAAATCATATATAAGAAATTGAATGTTAGCATAGATCATATCTATATAAACGTAACGTAACGTGACACCTATATAAATGTAACATAACATCTGTACGTAACGTGACACCTATATAAACGTAACGTGACATATATAATCTATGACAATATTCAATTTCCTATATAGGAAATTGAATGTTACCATAGATCATATCTACATAAACGTAACGTAACGTAACGTGACACCTACATAAACATAACGTAACACCTATGATCTATGGCAACATAAATTAGTATAAGTGTCTGAAAAATAACTTATAAATAAGTCTTTTAAGTCACATTGTCTTTTATATAACTTATTTATAAAATGACAAAATAAATTAAAAAGAGTTTAAAAAATCACCTTTTAACTAACTTTCCAAAACACTACATAATATTGACAACACTAATGTTCTACAATTTTTTATAAAAATCATTTACTTTTATGTGTTCTTATTATTTTCCAACAAAATTTAGAGGTTGAAAAACGTGGGATCACCCTCATGTTCAATACATACATAAAATTATTTGTTAATTATAGTTTCATTTATCAATTATATATTTTAATCAAAAAGTCATTGTAAATTATCATATTACTTATATATATATATATATTAGGGGTGCAATTCGGGCGGGTTCGGTCGGGTTGGGGGTCTGCCCAAGCCCGACCCGAATTGTATTTGACACTGCACAAGCCCGCCCAAGCCCGCCCATGAACCCGAGCATTGCTACCCAAGCCCGGACCAAGCTTTGTATTTTGAACTCGAGTTAGCCCGAATTGCCCGAAATATATATTATATATTATATAATTTATATAATATATTAAATTCAATTCGGGTTCGGGTTCGGGTTGCTCGGGTTGGCCATTGGTTCTGCCCAAGCCCAGCCCGAATTGCAATTCGGGCATCAAAAATTTGCCCAAGCCCGTCCAGATTACAAGATATAGTTGCCCAAGCCCTAAAAAAACTCGGGCTGGACTCGGGTTGCTCGGGTTGAGCCCGCCCGAGTTGCACCCCAAAAATATAAATCTTTTTATAAAAATTTAAAAAATTATTAAAATAATTTATTTCTAAACGAGACGTTAGAGTAACACACTTATCTATTTATCTTTAAAAATTAGGAAAATGATTGAGAGCCCTAAAAAAGTTGCCCCTAATACCCCTAATTTCCAATTTTGGAAACTGTTTTTTTTTTTTCTTTCTTTTTTCTTTTTTTTTTTCTTTCTTTTTACCCGAAATGGAATTTCGAGCCATTCGGGGCTCTCCATTTCGGGCCCTCAATCACCGCCCTAAAAATTAATATAAAAATATGTAATTGTGCCAATAGCAGCCTATAATTTTTCAAAAAATAATTGAGACCACTCATGTGATAGTGGACCCCATCCACTTACACAGTATTACTATGCCTTGTTTTTTTTTTTTTTTAAGTAAGGCTAAGTTTGAGAAGTTGAAAATAATTCATTTTTTTATCTTTTTTCTATCACATCACCTCTCTATTTTTTGTATATTTTTTTATAAAAAGACAAAAAGTACACTTATTTAGATTATTCCAAACAACTCTTAAGTGTCAACTCACTAATAATATTTTAAAATATCACTTTTAATGGTATGTATTATTCCCGCAATTTTCCTGTTGGGGTTGGGACCAATACTGGGTCGATTCATTCATAGTACGCATGAATGAGGAATGTCGGTGGTCTGGGCCGTGACAAAATTCACGAAAAAACACACCTCACATGCAAAACGAGAGACCTTCTTAGTAACGACAGACTTCTCCTACAACTTTTCTATATGGATTCATGATGTCTCTCATATTTAGGGTTGCGATTTCAGTTGTCTTTTTAATTTTTTAATTATTTTAGGTTAAGGTTAAAACTTTTTATTTAGAATAAATTTTTTATTTTTTTTATTTTTACAAAATAAAAAAAATAAAATAATTATGATTTAAATATAAAATTTTATTTTATTAATTTTTTTAATTTATTTTATTTTTTATAACTATTTTAACTTGATAAGCTCCCAACTTAGGATGCCAAATGAGGGCTCAGGAATCTAGGTACACTAATACGTTTGTGCCCTTCCGGGGGGTTTCAATCAATTTTTAAGACAAATTACATATATCTCGAGATTTAGTAAAATTATAGATACCTTCTGAGATTTGAGAAATTACAGATATTTTTTAAAGGTTATATTTACATAACAAATTAGGGGATAAATTATTATGAAAATATAAATCTCATAGGATAATTTGTTATGGAAATATAAATCTTAGGTGTATCTGTAATTTCTGAAATTTCAGAGAAATATCTATAATTTAGCTAAACTTTGAGGGAGGTATATGTAATTTTTCCTAATTTTTAATTATCGTTTGACCTATAAATTTTTTTAATTAATTTTTTGACTTTGTAACTATTAATTTTTTATTTTTTAAACTAATTTAATCTAAAAAGTGAATGTCAGTCAAATGAGCTTTGGAATGCTTGTTGTGGTTGGAGCACAACTTTGATTGTACCAGTCTATGGGGTTCACTGTGACAAACCATTTAAATCTTTGTTTGGGAAGTTAAGGTTGGATTTTTACAATTAAAATAATCATAAAAAAATAAAATAAATTTTTTAATTTAATAACATAAAATATTATATTCAATTTATAATCATTATATTCTTTCTCTTACAAAAAATTAAAAAAGTCAAAAAGTCTTTTTCAAACGAGACTTTTTAACTCAGGCTAAAATATTCAAAAAGTCAACCCACTTTCTAAACGAATCCTAACTTGTAGGATCTTTCAAGTAAATTATTTATATAAAATTTTAAGTTAATTTGATATTAATAATTTTAAGGAAAAATTATTTAAAAGTCCTATTAGGGAGATTTATGCTACATATGGTCCTACTAAAAAATTTATGTTCGTATAAGTCCTGCGGAGAGTTTGTTAACACATTTACCTTCAATATTAGTTGTTAATATCATAAATAATAGTAAAATCATATATAAGAAATTGAATGTTACCATAAATCATATCTATATAAACGTAACGTGACACCTATGATCTATGGTAACATGCACTTTCCTAAATTGCATGCTACCATAGATCATATCTACATAAATATAACGTAACGTGACACGTACATAAACATTACGTGACACTTATGATCATAGGAAATTGAATGTTGCCATAGATCATATCTAAATAAACATAACGTAACGTGACATCTACATAAACGTAACGTGACACCTATGATCTATGGTAACATTCAATTTCCTTTCCTATATAGGAAATTGAATGTTGCCATAAATCATATTTATATGAAACGTAACGTGACATTAACATAAACTAGCAACATTTTCACATTCAATTTAAAAAAATAAAAACTTATTAGGTGGTGTTTGGCAAGTGGGTTGGGGCTAAAATAGCCACAAAAGACAAAACAGGCTATTTTAGCCACAACAAACAAAACATCACATCCAACCCATAATCATTACACTCTTCTCTCACAAAAAAAAGCCAAAAAGCCAAAAAGCCAAAAAGTCCTTCCCAAACCAAGCTTTTTAGCCCAGGCTAAAATAGCCAAAAAAGCCAAAAAGCCAAAAAGCCAACCCACTTCCCAAACGGAGGCTAAGTTTGCGAAACGTAACGTGTTACGTTACGTTATGTTTATG